GCGCCTAATTTTAAAAACTCTCCAAAAAAAAAAAAAAAAAAGAGAAGCTTCTCTAGCTTTAGCTCAGGTGCCCTCCAGGACTAATAATATGGTTATAAGAGACAACATGCAACTGTAGAATCTGGCTAGTCCTTGACACCTGAGGCTAAACTTTGACTATGAAGGATGGTTTAAAGACTTGGGCTTATCAACCATCCCTCTCTCCACTTGTGCCTTCAAGTTTTATTGTTTATTCTGTTTTGTTTTGTTTTTCAGACAGGGTCTCATTATGATGCCTAGACTGGCCTTGGACTTGGGACCATCCTGTGTCAGCCTCTTGAGTACCTGGAACTATAGGCACACCCATGCCAGCTTCCCTTCATGCCTTGAATACTGACTTACCCGTTGCTTATCTGGATCCACAAAGCGGATCCCAAAATAGTCTTTCTCAAGCAGGTTCAGGTGGTGGCAAAGAAGATCGAACAAGTACTGGCCTTTGGCATCTCTCTGCAAAGAAAGAAAGTTCTATTGAGAAATGAGTGTGCTTCTTCAACGTATATATATGTTTTTTTTTTTTTTGAGAGATTTTTCGCTATAGGGCCCGTGAACTCACCAGACAGACAGAGAGAGACATAGAGACAGAAAGCGAGAAATCACCCCCCAGGGGGGATGGTCACACCGCAATCCCTTCTCCTCCATTCTCCTCTCGGGATCTTGGGCATGCACGCACATGCGCCCGGCGTGAGTTTTAAGCCGTCTGGTCCGGGACACGAACCGTGGTCAACTACGTGGGAGTCCAGCGACATAGCCATTACGCTAACTGCTGGTTCCCTCAACGTATATATTTTTTAAAGCATTAAAACTGTTTATAACTGGCACTGGCAGGTGGCATGGTAGGTGGGGGTGCCAGACTCCCACATGACCGACTGCAGTTCAAGTCCCTGACATGAAGGCTTGTTTTCTCACCCCTCCTACTCCTGTCTCTCTCTGGTCAAACTAAAAATAAGTACAAAGACAAATAAATCAACAAATCCATAAAATAATTTTTAAAAAGCTGTTTAAAATTGTTCCAAGAAGATCTAAAAAGGGGGCACATATAGATATCTACATCTTCCATCTTATGAAGCATTAGATATTCTCTGGAATTGGAAGATTCCAGGTGCTAACCTGGAAGGAGCCCAAGAACCTTTCTCACCACAAAGATATCAGAGAAGTAAAAGTAGAGCCAGGAAAGCCCAGTTCCAGTCTCTGTGGACAAAGCTTCCTTACAATCATGAGAATCCAGTGTTGGCGAAGAATAGGGCAGTAATGACACTAAATCCAACTACTCTGCCCGTGAAGTGTTATCTCCAGTCCTTTCACTTATCTTCAGCCCCACTGCCATAGGTCAGGCCAGCACCATCTCTCAGCTAGCCCCCTGCCTGGGCCTTCCAGCTGATTCTCTGCTTCTGTCCTTGCCCCCTGCGGTCCGTTCTCCTCACAGCCACTAGGGTGATGATAACGTAAGCACAATGTATTTTTTTTTTCTTACTGAATAAACAATATAGGCACAGTGTGAGATATTCAAACATACAAATGGATACAGCACAGAGAGTGAGTTGTCCTACACCCCAATACCTCTCCCTAGAAGCTACCTATTTCCAGCCTCTGTGTATTCTATGCATGATATTTTACATATAGGCAAACCTATATACGTATACATCTCTTTTTTAAAAACTACTCTTATGTTACAGACAGTGAGAGTGCAAGTGAAGGCTCTGAGAATTATAATTAACATTTTTAAATTCGCCAGAGGGTATGCACACTCATCAGAGATGGAGAGACAGACAGAGGGAGAAAGCCCCTTCCATGGGGAATGGTCTTGCCACAATCCCTTCTCCTCCAGTTTTTCATCCTGTCAGGATGTTGAGCAAGCACATATATGAGCACATGTGGCAAGTTTCTCAAGTTGTCAGGTCTGGGCCTCACACTGCACTGTCGATTACAAGGGATCCAGCTCACTTGACCACTAGGCCATGGGAACAAACCATTTGTAATCTTTTTTTAAAGCTTTTTGTTGTTGTTGTTGCCATAGGGCACATGCACTCACAAAGAAAGACAGAGAGACAGTAAGAGGGAAAGTGAGAAGTTACCTGCTGGGGGGATTGGCCATGCTGCAATCCTTTGTCCTCAATTTTCCTCTGGGGATTTTGGGCATGCGTGTACATGCACCCAGCATGATTTTCAAGCCACCAGGTCTGGGACTTGAACCGTGATTGGCCATGTGGGAGTCTAGCACATTAACCACCCCTCCATCTGTTGGCCCTGTAACGTATTTTTACACCCTATTTTGTTTCTTGTTTTTTTTTTTTTTTCCCTTCAATATAGGATACCTTGCAAATCTTTCTATAATAGTATCTATAGCCCCAGTTTTTAATTGTTGTATACTGCTGCAATAAGCTTAAAGATTTTTCTTTTTAAAAGATTTTTGGCCATAGGGTACATGTGCTTGCCAGAGAGAGAAAGAGACAGAGAGAGGGAAAGTGAGAAATCACCCCTGAGGGGAGGCCACACCACAATCTCTTTTATTCTCTTGAGATTCTGAGCACACATGTGCCCAGTATGATTTCAAGCTGCCTGGTCTGGGATTCGAACTGTGGTTGACCATGTGGGAGTCCAGTGCTTTAACAACCATGCCACCCGCTATTCCCAAACCTAAAGTTTTTTTCACCCAGTTCCATGTCGACAGAATTTGTGTCTAATATGCTATTACAAACAGAGCAGCAGTGAACACACAGTGATCTTTAATTATGTCACTGACTTCAGCTTAACACCTTTAGTGTCTTCCCATTGCTCTCAGAACAAAAATCCACATTCTGATCATAGCCTCTAATGACCTACATTCCTTGCCTCCTGCCTTCTCTCTAACTCATCCCAAATCATTTGTCACGCTATATTCTGGACATAGCCCTTCTGCCCCTGGACATTCCAAGGCTTCTGCACTCTGTGTTTTTGTATTTTCACTGCCTGGATGCTCTTCCTACTGTTCTCTGTTACTCCTCTTTGGTTCCTTTTTTTTTTGCCAGAGAGTATATGCACTTGCCAGAGACAGAAAGAGAGAGGGACAGAGAGAAACCTCCTTCCCAATGGGGCATGGTCATGCTGCCATCCATTCTCCTCCATTTCTCCATCCTGCTGGGACTTGGGGCACACAGGACATGTGCCCAGCATGTTTCTCAAGCTGCTGGGGCTGGCACTTGAACCATGTGGTCAGCCATGCAGGATCCAGCTTCCTTAACTACTAGGCCACAGAGCCTGCCCGATCACTTCTGCTGTTCTTGAGGTCTCAGTTCAAATGTCCCCTCTGTGACAGATATACCCCTACAAACGGTCACATGCAATCACTTCTCCATTTCTCCTCCTGCTGGAGGGGCCATGTAGAATACAACTGCCTTAATTACTACGCCACAGGATAACTCCAGAATGACTCTTTTCAGTTACTTTCCATCTCGTTTTCCTGTTTATATAATGAATAGCACTTATAAGATATCTGCAATTATCTTTTTAAAATAATTATTTTATTTAACTTTATTTATTTTTAATTTGACAAGAGATGGACAGAGAGAGAGAGAGAAAATGAAAAAGCAAGCCACCAGGTCTGAGACTCGAACCACGGTTGGCCATGTGGGAGTGCAGCACCCATAACCACTATGGCACCTACCAGCCCCCCTGCAATAATCTTATTGATTGCTTTAGTTATTGTCTTCTTTTCTTTTCTTTTTTTTTTTTTTGAGAGGTTTCTGCTATAGGGCATGTGTGCTCACCAAAAAGAGAGAAACAGAGAGACATAAAGTGAGAAATCACTCCCCCAGGGGGGATGGGCACACCACAATCCCTTCTCCTTCATTCTCCTCTAAGGATCCTGGGCATGCACGCACACAAGCCCAGTGTGAGTTTAAGCCACCGGGTCTGGGACTTGAACAATGGTCGAGCACATGAAAGTCCAGTGACATAGCCATTACACCAACTGCTGGTTCCATCTTCTCCTTTTCTAGACTACAATTTTCATAAGGACAGGAACCTTCCCCCAAAACTTACCACAGGTCTGGTACATAATAGGTAGGTCCTCAGTAGTTATTTGTAGAACAAGTTATTGAATGAATAGAGGGTAGGAGGTTGGCTAAAAGGTTTCATGAAATGGTGAGAAACTAGACTATTTGTAACCTATAACCTTCTACTGCAGAGACCTGCCTGGATAAACAGGATGAGCTGGAAGAATGACTTGCAGGGAACTCAAAAAACATCTGGAACCCTGCAAAGCATCCATCTCTGGGCCTGTCTCCAGTGGTCTCTGCAGTTCAGCTCAGATGATCTTATCTGGTGGGTCCATGTCTAATTCTGCATCCAAATCGAGTGTCTTCTAAAAGCGCAGGAGCTCACCTATGCCAAGTCCATGGGTAATTACAGGGCCAGGCCTTGCTCTAAGAACAGGCATAATTTAAAGATCTTCATGAAAAGTTTACACCTCACCTCTTCTCCTTCTGCTGGCTCACCCTATATTGTCTCAAGAGAACTAGGGCAGGATATTAAATCTCTCAGCAAATATCTTAAGAAGCTTATCCTTGCAGGAGCTGACAGCTCAACTAAAGGAGGAGACACCACGTGGGCACCTCCCCCTCCTCTTCTGCTGGCCTCACACTCTCTCTCACATCATCCTGAAGCAGCAGGCCTCATTCCCATACTCTTGGTCTCCCACCAGAAAGAGGCACTCTCAGGATAGAGACTTTGTATGAGTCACCCTGGAACTTCTGGGTGGTGGGCATAAACCAATCTTCCAAAGGACTCTGGAAGCACTGCCTCACTGTGCAGGGCTGATCAACTCCTCACTGACACCCTGAAGTGTGGGAACGTTTACACTGAGAGGTGAGGTTCCCGCAGAGCAGAGGACTATGCACAATGATCTATTATACTATTATCTTTCTCAGCAACTGAAATGGAATAATATGAGACAGTTGTATGTTGTGACTATTTTTCTCTACAAATTTTACTTTGTGCCAAGCTGGCTACTATACTGTAACCAGCTGGTGTGAGTATTTTTTTATTTTTGGGAGAGATTTTTTGCTATAGGGTGCGTGCACTTGCCAGAGAGAGACAGAGAGACAGAATGTGAGAAATCACCCCCCGGGGGGATAGACATGCCACCACCCATTGTCCTCCATTCTCCTCTCAGGATTTCGTACACACACCCATACCCCCCCCCACACACACACATGTGCAATGTGAGTTTAAAGTCACCGGATTCGGGACTTGGACTGTAGTTGACTACATGGGAGCCCAGTGATGTAACCACTACACCATTTGCTGATTCCTGGTGTGAATTTTGATGTCTAAAGTTTGCTTCCACACATACAACAACCATATTAGGAGGAGCCTGGGATAGAAATAGCCATGGAGAGTTCGTGTTTCTGTGATGAAAATCATATGTACACACATGCATACATAGCATGTATGTATGTATGTTTGTATGTATTTAA